AAAAGTAATCGATGCCTTCTTCTGCTTCCTTGAACTCTTTGAAGGCATTGTATGGTAGCTTGTGGGCCAGGTTGGTTGTGCTTCCCTGCGGCCTCTGCTCCCTTCTTCCTTCATCTGGGTTCATGGAGGTTGCCCTCTGTCTATTGGTAGGGACATAGGCTTGCACCTCCAAAAAGGTCTTGCTGACGATCTCCTCTGAGGGTGGCTCTCGATAATATGCCAGGTGCCGGTCCACCTCTTGGCGCACTTCCTCCTCATCTCCAGCCCCTGGCTGGGGTTCGTTGCCTCACTGCGTGCCTGGTCGTCCTCCATGAGCGCAGCAGTCAATTTGGCCTTGTTACATCCACCAGGCGTTATTCCTCTGGCTCCGCACAAGTCCTGCAGTGTAGGTGGCTTTAGAGCACTGTAGTTGATGGGTCTGTTGACAGGGACATGGTATCCTGCCGCTTGCCACCAATTGAAGTGGGACCTGGGTAACCAATGGTTATCCCCTTTGATTAGAATAGGTCAGACCCATTTCCCCAGTAACCGGATGGGACACAGTTCCAGGATACAGCATTTGACAATTTTTATTTGGGTACACAGCTTTGCCTCCTGTTGCCTCCTCCTCCTACTCCGCTTCCTCCTCCTCTACCACCTCCTCATCTGGTCAGCGTAACACCTTCACTACCAACTTCAGCACAGCCAGCGGGGTTCCTGCACCAGCAGGGTGGGTTCCTGTACCAGCATAGGCCAGGTACACAATTGTAACGGCTGCCCAGCTAGTGAGGGGTACTTGCCATTGGAGACGTCCTTTTCTAGGCAAGCTGCTGTGAAGTAATGGAATTCTTATTCCCATCCACGGTATCCAATTGCATAATCCAGGAGTGCTGTAAAATGAGGCAGAGTAACAGTACCATAAATCCCCTCCAAGAACGAGACGAGGCTACGTTTTGAAGGGTCAAGTAGAACTGATGTTTAATGACAGGGGGTCTCCTTTTATTCAATGGTGCCCTCTGAAAGGCTACACCCACATAATTATTACCACAGCCAATTACATACATGGTTCAACCCCCACGTCTCCTCCCCTCAGATAACATGTAACACAATTAAAACAGACACAATTTTAACTACATTCTGGATGTACCCCAAAAACAGGGGGTACACCTTTAAGTCCAGCACCTCAATAGCTATCACTCAGGGGAACAACATATCCAAATTTCAAGTCATTCTGTTGAGGGGTTCGGGAGTTATGGGTCTTTGAAGTTTGAAAAGAGTTCCATAAGTTTTGGCCTTGCGGTCGGTCTCCGTTCGTGCATAAAAACCCCACGAACCCCTTGCCATCCACAGTAATCCTGACGTTCACCTGAATCCCCATGCATGCTTAAACAAAACTACCGAACGGCCGGTCGTTCGGTAGTTTCAGCACGAACTTACGAGCTCCTGGAGGTCTCAGCGGTGTTCGCCTGTTTGCGTATCCGTTTTTAGTTTCATGCGTTCACAGGCAAACACCGCCGTTCATGCGTAAGATGGCCGCGAACACGTGTAAAGTCCCGAAATGGCGGCCACCTAACCTGAGTACAAAGGGATTCGTCTGAACCATGCGAACGGCTCCACAATCACTGGGAGGTAAAATAGCAATTAGCTGTTCCCCTGGGTGGTCTGATGTTCGGTATTTTGGGTTGTATGTTATAGTAGCAATAGTCACACGAACACCAGCCATTCGGTTCTGTTTAACCCCTCCAGCAGCATTGTTGATTAAGTTCAGGCAAAAATACAGGCATAATCATAGTTCTGTTACAACAATTGTCCAGCATCTCCACACTGTCCCATATAAGCGTTCAGCTGTCCATCTCCCAAACACTGGAGAGGAAGAGGAAGTACCCCCCTACCCACGCGCGATCCCTGGCCCTGAATGCCAGCATTTCAAAATTCCTGGCCTTTGAAATGCTGTCATTCCGTCTAGTGGAGACAGACAGTTTTAAAAACCTGATGGCGTTACTGGACTGCAAGAAATACACCACAGGCTGCAAATATTTATTTTTTTATTGGCTACCCCAATAAAAAAAAACAAATAAAAAACAGTGTTGGCTACCTCCTCCGCCTCCACCGCTGCTTCCAAAAGCAGAGCGGCTGTCCCCTAGACAGTACTCCTGCTACTGCCCACCGCACCCAGGGGCCGAGCACACCAAAGCCAGCTCCAACTAATTCCCTGGTGTGGCAGTTCTTCAGACAATGTGCTGATGACAAGACACTAGTGGTTTGCACGCCGTGCAATCAGAGTCTGATTTGAGGCATAAATGTGCTAAACCTGAGCACAACCTGCATGACCAGGCATATACATGCAAAGCACGAGATGCAATTAACCCAATTAAAAAAATTCAAGATAAATAAAATAAAAAAGCAAACAAATAAAAAACAGTGTTGGCTACTTCCTCCTCCTCCACCGCCGCTCCCACCTACACCGCCACGGTCACCACCTCCTCAATCTATGGGTCTATTTAGTATAAACTATGTACACAATAGCAGAGGCTTGTGAAGGCCTTTTCTCCATGCATCAGGAGTTGAGCTCAGTTTGAACAATGAAAGAGAATACCCTGCACTCCAACCCTCTCTCAAATTGATAATTCGGGTGATCCTCCTGACAGCCATGCTTTAGATTTTGATTTATGTTCTTCCAAAGCTAAAATCAAAGATTCCATCTAGTGCTATTTTATGGCTCAGCTGTATTTTAAATGTTTAGGTATTTTATGTTATTTTAAGTGATTTCCCTATTCACATTTGTTTGCAGGGCACTTGTCCTACTCTTACCCCCATTTTACTTCCTTTTGCAGCTCTCTAACCCTTTCCAGGACTTTTTTTAGAGGCCTTTTTGCGCCCAAAAGTTTGGGTCTCCATTGACTTCGGGGTCAAATTCGGAGTCAAGTTCGATCCCAAACCCGGACTTTTTTTCGAAGTTTGGCCGAACCTGCCGAACCCGAACATCCAGGTGTCCGCTCAACTCTACTTATTGCTATTACATGATTTTGTCACCTTAACATTCGATCTGCCCAATAATATTACCCCTCACTTTTCTCAGACGGGTTGGTCTCGACACTAACTTAACCATCCCCTCGCCTTTGATATGAGGCTACTCCAGAGGTCATAACTCAGCAAGGGTCAAAGGCGTAAATTTACTATGACCTAGCGGCCTACAGGCCATAGTTACATTTAATTTTTGTACTACTAAAAAAAATAAATAAATAAAAAAAAAGGCGCACACTGACCTAGACATGTCATGCTACATCTAAGCTTTTAAGGCATTATAATATAACACAGCCAATTCTAGAGGTCTACTCACACATAGCTAGTCTGTACAGCCTGCCAATATGCTGATCACACACCGTTCATTGTTTATAATTGCTTCTAATATTCTCACTAATGCTGTTGTGGCACGGTGAGTTTCTATGTTATATATCTTCTAATGTGCAACAAAAATAAAGAATTAAAAAAGGATGCAACCGTGACGTTGCCGCTTTAACGTCTGTTGCTGGGAAAGTATTTGAATGGTAATTAAGGAATACATTTCAGGAATTAATTTGCAAGAACTTTGTTATTAGCAAAAATCAACATTGTTTTATGAAATATAGGTAATGTCAAACTAATTTAACTACACTGTATGAAGAAATAAGTAGCAGTATAGATCAAGGTATTGCAGTGGATGTGATCGACTTGGATTTTGCCATAGCATTCAATGGTTCCACACAATAGGTTGATGTTCAAACTAAAAGAAATTGGCCTGGGTGAATATTTTTGTTCTTGATTAGAGCATTGACTTAAAGTACTCAGAGTTGTAATTATTGGTAAAGTTCCAAGCTGGACAAAAGTGGCAAATGGTGTACCTCAAGGGTTTGTTCTGTGACCACTTCTATTCAACATGTTTATAAATGATCTTGAAATAGGGATTGCAAGTCACGTGTAAGTGTTTGCCGATGACATCACTGCACAAAGATTTAGTGAACTGGGCACTCAAATAACAGATAAACAATAACAATAAATTTATTGTAGACAAATACAAAGTTATGCACTTTGGGGTGAAAAATGCACGAGCAACTTACACACTTAATGGTAGTGAATTAAGGATAACAACACACAAGAAGGATTTGTGAATTGTTATAGACAACAAACTAGGCAACAATGTACAATGTCAATCAGCCGTTGCTAAGGCCAGTAAGGCATTGTCATGTGTAAATAGTGGAATTAATTATTGGGATTAAAATATAAATTTGCCTCTTTATATTCACTGGTAAGACCATACCTTGAATATGCTGTGCAATTTTGGGCAC